AAATATTAATGATATAGAGCACTCCACATGTACTCCCACTAGACAAATACCTCAAGAGTTTGTGATCAACAAATAATTTAGTTTAATCCCATGCTTTTCAGGTATGATAATCAGGGAATGGAAAATTGGGTTGCGTGCTTTTGCTTTTTTAGATATGTATGGCTAACAACACCTGAAAAATTTCAGCATGTATCTTTCTGACTTCATTCAGAAATACTTTTAATCCAAAAAGAGAAAAAATCCAACCTTAATTCACAGACATACATTACAGTTTTACTATTTCTTCAGATGCTGGAATCAAATACTACAAACACAAACAAACTGACTGAGAGGACACGTACCTTCTGTAATCTGGTCTGATATGACTCACTAGGAACAAAATTGTAAGAGATCAGTCAGCACCATTACAGAAAATATCCTTCCACTTCTTACAGCCAAGGGACACTAAGTACATTGTTTTTCTTTATCCTTGCTCAAAAACAAATGTTACATTCAGAAAGCTGTGTTAATTTAAGATACATGCCTCTGATTTTATATGCAAGAATAATATTCGAAGTAGCATCTTTGAACATGGCACTAGTGGTGACTTTAAAGCTAGATAATATAAAAGAACCAATAACTGACAAGAGTTCTAAGATCCTCTGCCATTACTATTCTCCATGCTTACTTTTCTAGTTAGGCTGGAAACAGGTTCACAAAACTTCTTGGGACAAATACCTTCCTAACGGTAAAACAGTAAGCCATTGGTCCCTGTCCATACTCTTTGCATGAGACAAAAAACCTAAGCAAAGAAGCAAGTGAACTACCTCTGGACACAAAAATGAAGGAGATGAGTTGCAACCTTATGCCTTCAAACCGGAAGGTTTCCTTATGCCTATGTTGTGCTTGCCCTGTGTTGTCTGAGTGAAAAAAGAAAGATTTCTTATATGAATAAACAATAGCATCAGTCATGTACCACTGAAAACAAGCAAAATTCTACCTGCGGTCTCTGTTGACAGGGACCAGCTATTGGTGCAGCACTTTGCAGAAAACACTGTTCTGTGAAAGCTGCAGTACTGAAAAAAAATAATTCAGCAAATCTGAGAGGAGTTTCATTTTGGAAATGTTTTCAAAAAGAACTAAAAGTTCAGGAAACATTGTTGATTTCCTGAGAACAGAGTGCATTCACCATGAATCACTAACCCTCACTTGAAATCATCATTAGTTTCATAAAAGAAGAATTACAGAACAAAACATTTTAGGAACAACTTACCAACCAAGCAATTGGGTATGATTTTCTAATAAAACATGTGTCATATGGGAGAAAAACTGATCCTTAGCCAGATAAACAATGAGGAGATGAGCAAACTGCTTTAAATGATGTAGAGCTTTTGTTAAAGAAGGTGCTCAGAACAAAATTTTCAATTCAGTTCAACCATCTGTAATATTTACTGTTGTGTTCTAAAAAGTTAACATTTCCAGATAAAGGATTAGAGGGAATAAGCTTCAGGATATGCTTAAGTAGGTATTTTTCTACCCCTAGTAAACTGCGGTGCAAGATCTCCATTGACACCTGGATAAAGATCTCATTTGTTGGCTTGATAAATAGATGACATTAAAAACCTAAACTTTCAGTGTTAGTTTTTGAAGAAGTTCATTCAGCAGCTTCACAGTCCTTTGGTTTTCTTCTGCAGTACGGTTAATTCTGTGTGCAGTTCGGATAAGAAGGCTACAAACTTCTTTGCTTGTACCAGTTGTCTCAGTAATCTGAAGGGAAACAGAGCAGATGGGAAATAATGCAATTATGTTGCTAAGCACTAAGAATTCTCTGTTAGTATTTGCAACAAAACCAGAGATTTGTCCCTCACCACTGAACACGTGAAATGCCCTTGAGTTCAAAAGCAACTTCTGCCCAAGGCGTCTCTTTTCATATATCTTGGCAGAACTGAACAACTTTGAAATTTCTATTGTTCTCTCAAATTGAAGTGAAACAAAACAAGAGGTCAGAAAGTTTTTAAAGGGCACACAAATGGACAGACAGTGTAACCATTTAGAAGTCGTCTCCCCAGTAAACAACTAAAAGCACACAAAGGCTTTGGGTAAAGCTTTCAAAAGTCAAAACAAATCCCTCCCCCAAAAGATGACAAAGTACCAGGAAAAGACCTTCAGATCAGGAGGGACTGTACTCCACCTTATCTGCTGTGTTAATCCCAAAGTTTACTATGCTAACCAAAACCACCCCCACTCTGGTTCCACACCATTCTGTCTTTCATATATTGTCTTCATGCCTTTCCAAATCACATGGAGAGCCTAGCTGCACGTTAATGATTGCACACATACAGTCAAAATTAATCAGGGAGACGTACTCTGGCCTACAACAGCTCGTGGCCACCTTGCACTGGGGAATACTCAGTGTTTTTAGTTGCTTTCTATAAAGAAACAAGAAGTCGCCTTTGGACTTCCTTGAAGAAGTTGAAAGCAGCAGACTAGTGTATTACAGCATTGCTGCTCAACAGCCGCACTCCTCAAAAGAGAAATACGAAAACTAGCAGACTGTAAAAATCCATACAACCCCCCTAATTTTATCATTATATTCTTACGCTAAGACGAAATCGGTAAGTTTTGAGCATACACCTAAAACGCTAGAAATATCTTAGCCCTTCCTTCTTAAACAGAAAAATGTTATGTCTGTTTAGTCAGCCAGAAGGCATAACCACCAAAATAGGCTTCCAGTTCCCTGGGTCATAAAACCAGACTCCTTACACATGCCATATACCCTATACAGAGTGAAGAACACACTGCTGCTGTAAGGACAAGCTTTAGAAGTGCTAAAACCACACACTGGCCCTAGACCTGCTGGCACAGGAGGCCTGTACTTCTTAAAAGAGTACAGCTTTATAGTTAGAGAGGAGTACATTCCTAATCTCATACTGAGAGACACAAACGCATTATACTGTTTGTAGCAATACACCTGAAGGCTCTCATCAACAGCAGCAAGACACTGTGGCACGCTTCCACCATTTTACTCCTCTTTAGCTTTTTTCACATGCTGAGTGACTCTCAGGTCTTCATTCTTTTTTTTCCTCTCAATTATTACACCGTTTTCCTCTCTGGCTTTGCTAAAGCCACAGGCTGCTGCCTGTGCTAACAGTAACTAGCTGTCTTACATAATGGAAAACAGAGAGAAGACAGCTCCATCATCTCTGCAGCAGATGGGTAATTAAGGGAGTGATTTGTAACTGGGAAAAGCAAAATGTTTGCACGTGTAATCTACGCCAGGTGTAAACGAACTGCAAGTATCTCTTGACTGCAAGCTGGTACTCCAACTATTTCTGCAGCTGTACAATCAGGACAGCAACCTTTTCAGTGAGATCTTGTCCAGAAGTGTCAGAAGGAAAATGTTTTGACTGTAGCTGAAATAGATATGTAGCAGGTTAGTTGCTCTAGTCACGATCTTTAATTCTCTCCTCTGTTTTGTTTATTAAGAGGTAGGAACTTAAATCCAAAATAATAACAGTATTTTAGTTAAACTGACAAAAAAGGAAGAAACACTTACATGGGAAATTAATTCCTGGGCAATTACATGTCCACCAGAAGAAAAGAGCAAAAAGTTGGTAAGAAGATGTGTTATAAGATGCTGGCTACAACACCGCTCTACGTCTGTTACAGCGTGTACAGCAGCCTCCACATCTCTGACAGACAGGTCTGTACAGCTGAAGAGCACTATCAGACGACTGTAGACTGCTTGAGCTTCTACCTGTAGGAAACAGTTCAAAGGAGTAAATGTCATACCTATGGTATTTTTCCTCTGGATTTATTTACTAACAGGAAATTTAATCCTTTGCAGAAACTACCCCATCATGAAAAAAGTTCGAATTTAAGCACCAGGGAGAACAGGGAAGGAAGGGCTGTACACATTTCTTCTACACTGATTCACTCACACAGAGGCGGACAGAGTGGATTTTTTAACTTTCTTTGGTCTTGCGAACTAAGCAGGCAGGGCATCAAGCCAGGATTTGACCTTTTCTAATAATAAAAGGAAATGGAGAAAGTCTCTCAGCAGACTATGGTCAGATTTTTGCATTGTGGGAAAATGAACAGAGGCTCCTCAAGGGCTCATTTCAGTACTGCTGCTACAAATCAATTAAATCCCTATGCAACCTGACCTTGGCTGATAAAATGTTCTGGTAAGAATGAAGTTTTTTCTTTCTTCCTGTGTTGTTTGCAACTTATGGTTTTACCTTTTGAGTTAGCTAATAAAAACTAATTGTTACTGGAAGAAGAAAACAGACAATTTTGGCACCTACACAATGGGAAAAGAACTATAAGCAACTACTGCAGATAATTCTGTTCACTATATTAAAAGTAAACCAAACAAACTGGTAGGAAAAACCCAAATGAGTAAGTGCAGGAACAATGGAAAAACATACCGCTGCAGACCCAGAGGAAAAGGACACATATTTCTCAAACATGTTCACTGGGACAATTTGTTTCAGTCATTTACCTGACCTTGCTGTTCTCATCTCTGCCCTATTAACAATTCCACATAAAATAGTCTGAAAAAGCTGCTGTTCTTCAATTAAGTTCACAGTTACATGTGAGGCAACAAATGACACCAGAACCTAAAGAAAGGTGACTGTAATTCTTCAAGAGTCTTTATCCCTCTATGCAATCCTGTTCTAGGTATGCCTCCATTCCACGTGCCAGAGACTGGAGAGTGATAGTAGCAGGCTCTGCTCCATGGGCTCAGGTACCTTAGGAGACGCATTCTTAGTGCCAAAGGTTAACTATGACCAACCTCCAAGTTCTGTTCCTCCCATGTTTCAGAGTCTAAAGGTATGAATGGACTCCAGCAAATGAATAAATATTAAGGCGCAGAATATTCAGCCCTGCGCGTATGAGTGAGGTCTAGTGAACACCAAAAGTAGCCTTTTTCTTCGTTAAATCATTTTTACCCTATGTATTCCACTCTTGATGATACAATATCATAGAATCATAGAATCATAGAATGGTTAGGGTTGGAAGAGACCTTAAAGACCATCTAGTTCCAACCCCCCTGCCATGGGCAGGGACACCTTCCACTAGACCAGGTTGCTCAAAGCCTCATCCAGCCTGGCCTTGAACACTTCCAGGGATGGGGCATCCACAGCTTCTCTGGGCAACCTGTTCCAGTGCCTCACCACCCTCTCTGTGAAGAATTTCTTCCTGATATCTAATCTAAACCTCCCTGTTTTCAATTTGTACCCATTACCCCTTGTCCTGTCACTACAGGCTCTTGTAAAAAGTCCTCTCCCAGCACCCTTGTAGGCCCCCTTCAGATACTGGAAAGCTGCAATGAGGTCTCCTCGGAGCCTTCTCTTCTCCAGGCTGAACACGCCCAATTCTTGCAGACTTTCATCATAGGAGAGGTGCTCCAGCCCTCTGATCATCTTCGTGGCCTCCTCTGGACTCGCTCCAAGTGGTCAATCTCCTTCTGATATTGGGGGTTCCACAGCTGGACGCAGCACACCAGGTGGGGTCTCACCCCATATCATTATAATGACCATTATAATAACCACATCATTATAATGATGATATATAAGCTGCTACCAGAGTAGATAGAAGGAAGACAATATCTTAAGTCATGAGTGCATGCCTTTTCACACAAGAACACGCTGAATGAAAAGTCCCCCAGCTTGGCATCCGCCAGAAGTTCCCAGCCCATCTTAATCCTTAACTGGTGAAATCCTTAACTCAGGTGCAGGGGCTGAGAAGGAAACCACTCCATTTGAAAGAGCTGAGAGCTAACCTGCCAAAGGACAAATTGAAAGAAAAAGCAAATATCTCACTAAAGGCAGAAGCTTTACATGAACTGTGGGAATGCTTCTGAAGTAGCCTGACCTGTGGGGGAAAAAAAAAAGTCTTACTTGAGTAACTAAAGAAAAGAATCATAACGAACTGAAATATGAGACCTCTGGGAACAGATGAGTAACTGCATGGGCTGTCACTGGAAAAGCTTTTTTCTCACTAAAGTTTGTCATACATTATGACAGAATAACAAACATATAGAAGGGGGACACACAGGGAGATGATGTGATATATGGGACGTGATTTCATCCATACTGCTGGAGTTAGAACAATGTTCCATACATAGGTCTATACCTATAGTCCTTCACTAACGTTTATTGCTTGGGTATTGCCTTCTTCCCCAAAACTGCATTCTAAAACCAAAACCAACCCTGGTTTTACTTCATTGTTGGTCTAGCCTAAGTCTGCTCAGCCAACCTCCACCCCTGCTCTTAGACTATAAGAAATTAAAGAAAAAAACAATTAAAAACTGATTGGGATGTGAGCTTGCATTTGTAGTCCCAACTGGGTGGCGGGAGGGCAAGGAAAGGAAATAAAATGTTGCAGAACACACTGTTGTTCATGGACCATTAGATGTAAAATGAAAGCATGGTGTTTTACTAGCGTGGCATACCAAGCTGCATTTTAAAATCAAACAGAATTTGTTTTCAAATTTAGGAAAACTAGATATGTTATATCCACATTTTTAATCTGGGCTTCGTAGATCAGATTGCCTCGGCTAGTTCAAACTTGCATAATAGGTCTAAATTAAAGGCTTTCATGGATTTCCTGGCACACACAGCCACACAGCACTCTTCATGCAAGGAGATGCACGAGGTCAGAACACCGCTTCCGTCTGTCAGAGGCCTAGCATGTGGGAATGTAACATACTTGTTACAATCTCATACATGCCAAAAATCAGTAAAGATACATAAAAGAAATCAGAATAGATGGGCAAGGTTAGGATTCAGGGGTGTGTCTGGTAAGTATCCCTACTGCTTCGGTTGCTGTTATGATTTCTCTTGTGCTTCCTCCTCAAGATGATGCCGTAACACAGGAATGCTGAATTCTGCCACACAGGGTTTTTAAAAAATACCGCTCCTAGAGTAGTTTTACTTGTAATTAAAAGCACTCAAGTTATCCAAAAGAAAGTCATGAAAGTGCTAGTCTACATAACATACTATAAGGAGGAAAAATGTTTTCTGAATGTCACCAAGAAAATCCACAAAAATCATCTTTCAACTTCTCTGCAACAAAATTCCCAGGAGACCTCATAAAGCCAAAGCCTCCTCCAGCACACACCTTTCATGTTTCCAGTGTGCATTATTTGTTTTATAGCAATAAGATATAAGCAGACTATTGACTGCTTATTGCTGCTTACTATTGCTACATTACCCACCATTGTTTGCATCCTTTGTTGATTTTCATTCTGAGGACAGTAGTAAAAAGCCAGCAGCCACAGCAAAGCATCTGGTTCTACAGCAGCCTTCAGTAATTGTTCTGCTGCAATATCCAGCCATTCTCCAAAACAAGCAACCAAAAACCAGATTTCAAAAAGGTCAGCAAGAGAGCTGGAAAATAACAAAGATGCCATTAAGTAACACTTTAAATATCTGAAGTTAACTGCAAAGGGGGCTGTCCTGAAAAACAAATGTAAGTTAAACTCCTCTTCAACAGATAATGCCTTACCTGCCAAACATACAGCAAGGTACTACTTTATTATCTGCAGTCATGATTAAATGACACATACCCAGTGCTACTAACAGATTAACTCTGTCAGCAGACAGACCATCCCTAACAACAGCTTCAGCTGAACTGTGACACAATACTATGTATTAAAACATACACCATAAAATTAAAACTTATCATTTATACTCTCCGTTTGAAGGATTTGCAAAACATTGCCAGAAGTGGCCCTTCACTTTTTCTGGGACTTGCCCCCACAAAATGTCCATCAGTTGATTTTTGGTTTAAAATGTCACATAGCATTTGCCGTTCACGGAGATGACTACATATATCAATAAATAACGGCACAGAAGCAATCTGCTGATTAGAAATACACAGAAAGCAACTCGCTGTAAGGCTCACATTCAGTGTAAAATAAAACCACTGATAAACAAGCTCTGTGAACAGAGAGCACTGACTGTAAGAAGCAAGAGGATATGCTGTATAGTTTTTTTTGCTGCTCTGTTGATCTTAGTAAGTAGAAAGGATGCGGAATGAGGAATAAATCCATAAAAGAAAATTGAATACAGTTTCCTTGTATATATTAGTATTTAAAAACTTAAATATGATCCATTTCCTTTGTCATTGAGAGGGATTTGGTAGAAAACATAATTGTTGCGTGAGTTCTAAAGGAAATAAGAGGATATTCCTTCTGTCAAGCACAATGCTATTCAAACATGCACACTATCAAAGCCAAGGGGGAAAAGAGAGTATAAGGCAAGAAAGGGCTAGGCAACAGAAGGAGAACAGACCTGATTCTATTATTGTAACACATTATGATGGATGGTATTTGTTTAATTTGTTTGTTCCAATTTGAGTTATGCATTTCTTTAAGAATCCAGGGTCAGCTACTGGTCACACTCCAAGGGCAGAAAGGTTTCACAGACTTCAGGGATGAACAGGCAAGACACGGCACTGAACTGCAGCTCATAGAGAAAGTAAGAATCTTCCAGCAGACAGCTCAGCCTCAGAGGGAAAAGCAAAAAGTTTTTGTAGGAGAGTAGGAAAATAAGCATTTCTGTTAAACAGCTAGCCTCTTGATGGAAAATAAAGACAAAATTTTGATTACTCAGAGGCTTATGGGTCAGGTCTATTCGTGCTACAGAGTTCAGGTTCAGTAAGTAAGCTAAGTCCCATTTTTTAAAACAAAGCTCTATTTAGATAGTAAAAAGAACATTATGAAAAGTAGCCCCTCCACACTTCAAACAGCATGACTTTTCACAAAGTAACATATGCAAAGCACAAAAAGTTAGAAAATATCCTACTGCTTACCTAATGTTTGCTTCTTCCACTAATGCTTTGAGCATATCCGAAATGTGTTTCAAGTGTTGGGGCCAGTGTGTAGCTGGCAGTTCTGAGGAAGGAGGATGAAAATAAAACTCTTATAAGTCTAGTCTGTCCATGTAGAACAGGAAAGTGAAATTAACCATCATAAGGTATCATTAAAATCTGTGTAACTTGATCCAGTCATCACAAAGCATTTAAAATTTAATTTTAATTTTTTTCTGATTTTCAGTGGTACCTATTACTGTGTTTCTTACAACCACTTGTTGACAAAGCCATATGTGGAGGCACAGCTAAGAATATTCCAATGAGGCTGATGCACCTGCGTGCAAATGCTACCTCAATATTAATACGCTACTACATATTAATACATAATCAGCAGAATAACTTTCTCAGAGGCTCCTGCAGTGAGCTGAAATTACTGCTCGGGAAAATGTGTACCAGACTGAGCAGTAGATTCTTGATCTACAAAAATGTGAAATCTGAAAAAAAAAATTAGCAGAATTCAAGCTTCAGAGGCAAATGGCAAGACTATTTCTTGTAATATACATATGAATATTTTCACAATGACAAATATTATGAAAATATTTAGTATTTTTACAATCCTAGTAACTTGTCTTTATTCCTACGAAATTATGCACTCTTTCTTTGTTATTCACTTATGATTTAATTTTCTTTAAAGTTACATCTGTATTACTGTCACATAAGAATTAGATGTCCCTGCAAAAAAAATACATTAAAGGAATATTATTAAAATCACTAAGTCAACACATCCTATTTAGAAAATGGCAAAATTTTTCCTTCATCCCTTTTAAAGTTATTTTAAGACATACAGATCATGCAGGTTGGATAAGGCTGCAAATATTTCATGAAGAAACTTACCAGAAGGACGTCTGAGTAAAGCTGTTACAAGAGGCTGGTGATGGTAAGGGAAGTAGGCCTTCAGTGGAAATTTATGCTAAGATACAAAATCATTATTTTAAGAATTTTGTGGTCAGTGTTCAAAATAAACCCACAGTGAACAATCTCATCTAAGGTAGTAATTATCAAAACAGACTGAAGCATGAGAACACAAAAGTAACTCTGCACTTATTTTAGGATTTTGCATAAAGAAAGAAGGAGATATTTGGGAAATGCTTGCTTAGAAAAAATAATTACTTTTGGATTTTTAAAATACATGCATTAAAAAAATATTCAGAGTATGAATAAAATTACACCTTAATATTCTTAGGCTTTTTCCCTGCAGTCACAAAAGCCTTCACTGTTTGTATGCAGAGGTTCAACAGACTAATTAGTTTCATTTCATTTTCCAGTGTAAACAGTTTCACAGATCACATTAGAATCATAGAATCACAGGATGGTTTGGGTTGGAAGGGACCTTAAAGACCATCTAGTTCCAACCCCCCTGCCATGGGCAGGGACACCTTCCACTAGACCAGGTTGCTCAAAGCCTCATCCAGCCTGGCCTTGAACACTTCCAGGGATGGGACATCCACAGCTTCTCTGGGCAACCTGTTCCAGTGCCTCACCACCCTCTCCGGGAAGAACTTCTTCCTGATATCTAATCTAAACCTCCCCACTTTCAATTTTAACCCGTTCCCCCTTGTCCTGTCACTACAGGCCCTTGTAAAAAGTCCCCCCCAGCTTCCTTGTAGCCCCTTCAGGTCCTGGAAGGCTGCAATAAGGTCTCCCCGGAGCCTTCTCTTCTCCAGGCTGAACAAGCCCAACTCTCTCAGCTTTTCATCATATTAAACTAAGAACTAATAACATTCACAAAATCTGAAGGTGTGATGTACATTATTGCCCTGTGTTCAAGAACGGAAACCTAAAATTCTCAGGATCTGATTCAGCACAAGGTCTAGCTGGAAGCCCGTAACCAGCGGTGTAGCCCAGGGGTCCGTACTGGGTCCCATCCTGTTTAACATCTGCATCAACGACCTGGATGACAGACGGGGCAGAGTGTACCCTCACCAAGGCTGAAGATGACACAAAACTGGGTGGAGCAGCTGATACACCAGAGGATCATGCTGCCATCCAGAGGAACCCTGACTGCCTGGAGAAATGGGCTGACATGACCCTTCATGAAGTTCAAGAAGGAGAAGGGTAAAATTCTGCACCTGTGGAGGAACAATCCCAGCACCGGAACAGGCTGGGGGCTGCCTGGGGGCTGCCCAGCTGGAAAACAGCTTTGCAGAAAGGGACTTGGGGGTCCTGGTGGGCACCAACTTTAACACGAGTCAGTGATGCGCCCTGCGACAAAGGCAGCTAACGGTGTCCTGGAGCACATCAGACAACGCATTGCCAGCAGCTCGAGGGCGGTGATCCTTCCCCTCTCCTCAGCACTACTGAGCAGCCACTCCAGCAGCCGAACCTGGAACACTATGCCTGGTTCTGTGTTTCTTAGTTCAAGAGTTGTGGACATACTGGGGAGAGTTCAACAAAGGGCCTCACAGCTGAGTAAGGGACCTGAGAGAGCCTGGAGTAGAGAAGGCGCCAGGGAGATCTCATCAGTGTGTGTAAAAACCTGAAGGGAGGGTGCAAAGAAGAGGGAGCCAGGCCCTTTTCAGTGGTGCCCAGTGACAGGACCAGAGGCCATGGGCACAAACTGAAACAGAGGAGGCTTCCTCTGAACACCAGGAAACACTTTTTACTGTGAGGGTGACCGCGCACTGGCACAGTGGGGTTGTAGGGTATCAGTCCTTGGAGATACTCAAAAGCCGACTGGACATGGTCCTGGGCAGCTGGTTCTAGGTGGCCCTGCTTGAGGTGGGTGTTGGACAAGATGACCTGCAGTGGTCCCTTCCAACCCCAACCACTCTGTAATTCTGTCATTTCAGTCTCCACACCAATGACCTTAGAACTCTTCTGTCTCATTCCTTTAGGACTAAGAGACTATTTAGCAAATCTCTTGAAACACAGACTGGGAATGCAGACTCTATAAAATGTGATAAATTTAGTAGCATATCTTTTGGGATATACAGGCATGCATCTTATAAACAAATGCAATGACACATTCTCTCTTGCATATTATTGTTCTGTAAACAACAGTTAATTGAAATTACAGCACACTGATATATACAGTATTCTCAGACGGTCCATCAGTCTGTTGTCTACCAGTCATACCGGTATCACTGGTATGGTAGACTCTAGAAGTAAATTCCATTTACTTGTCAAATGGAATTAGGTTAATTATAAATTAATGATCCCTGAACTAAAGTATGCATGTAGCCAATTAGCTGGCACCAAAAATCCCCATGAAAAAGCAGCCCTTGACACAGTTAGTAGTAGCCAAGACAACCCACAGCATGAGTTACATACAAAACCAGAATTGTAAACTAAGTGAAAACCAGCTTTCAGCATACTATTTAAGCAAACCAAAAAATGTTTAATTCCTATCATACAAACACAGTATTTTAGGCGGTTCTTTCCTTACATAAACCATCACAAAGGGCAAAACAAGGTACAAAGAGACAGAACAAGCATGGATGTGGCTGGTTATAATAATTACCAGGATGTGTAACAGGAAATAAAAGTTGAACAGTGGCTTAAAATATTTATCCAGCTACTGAAAACAGAACTCCCAGGTGAAAAACATTGACAATCCTGAAACGATCAAGGGAAAATAATCCTGGAGGAAATCATAATTTTCATCAAATAAAAGCATGAACTTCAAGTTCATAAATTTACAAGTAACATGACCAAAATATCCTTAGGTCAGCTTTCACTACCATCACAAACTTGAAGGAAATATGATTGTACAAAACACGAAAGGATTATTCCAGAGTGATCTCAGTACGCCCATTCTTAAATTTCTTGTTCAATGACTATACAAATGGTCTTTTTTTCCTAAGTAGGTTTAAAACCCATGTTCCATTTATACCTTCTTCGGTCTCCCAAAACAGAGGAAACGGCTATTCCTAAACCAGATAGGACAGATTTTTCACACTCTTTGGCTTTTCCCTGATGAACCCTGTTCTCTCTACATGGCCTACAAAGTCACTAGAAAAGACAGCTGTTTCTGACAGCGGCCACACATCAATCGTGGATGATTCACCGTGTACCTTGCAAACCGTGCCGCTGCCAGACATGACCTGGTTCTTTTGAGAATTTTGTGGAAACATCTGTTTGCCTAGCCTTTTTTCAATTAACTGTACTATAAATTCTACAGGTCTCTGTCCCAGCCAGAACCATCTTCATCCTCTGTCACTAATGGTTTTACCATTTCCCTGTGAAATGCTAATGAAGCACATTATGTCCTGTCAGGGACATCCAGATACCACAGAGATGGGTGCCTTAAGAATATATGTAATATCAGTATGAGAAAAAAATATGATCCAACTGATTTAAACAAAGTTTAGGAAGCAGTCTGTGCCTGTATTTTTGCATGCCAACTGTTAGTTAACATCATGGTTCATTCATAAACTGAAATAAGGGATTTTAAACTCTCATATTGAAGATAATACCTTAATTAGAGACCCATGAATTAAACTGTATACAAGTTAAACAGAGAAAACTTAACATTTAAAACCACTTAAAAAAAAGTGGGAAAGACCATGTCGCAATGCCAGCACGTGAAGACTTTCACCCTGAAACAAACCATCCCCTGCACAACAGGATTAGCTCTCGAGTGTCTGATGGATGTGCAGTCTTCACTTGTGTTCTCTACAGCATCACCCCCACCTGGGGCTACACAGCATGCTGCTGCCATGTAGGCAAGGTGGCATAAAATCAACATGCACAGCACCTATAGATGAAGTGAGACAGCTGCAGTTTCATCCTTAATTCATATTGCCTGAAGCTAGAAGGCAGATTCAGTCACTGCTAATTAAACGACAGTAGGTACCAAGTTCCAAGAAGTCCCAAAATTTTCTTAACTACCATCTGCCCAAAAATATGCAATAAGAAATTTTCTTATGTCTAAAGTGAAAGTTATTAAATGATTGCATACTTTCCAAACTCATAGTATACTTTCCAAAATTACATCACATGAATGGGAGTGAAACAACCAAATGAAATGGTCAGGATGTGAAATGACACTGTGACTTGGGAAACCTGAAAAGAAGTTTGCAACCTATAAACAAGACTTTTTCATATCTCTATTCTGAAGTTTAAAAATGAGAAACTGATCTTGCTCTTGCTTAAACCAATACATACAAAAGTAATTCTACTTAATTCTCCAAGGAGACCTTATGGCATCTGTACCTGAAGGGGCCTACAAGGAAGCTGGGGGGGGACTTTTTACAAGGGCCTGTAGCGACAGAACAAGGGGTAATGGGTTTAAATTGAAAGTGGGGAGGTTTAGATTAGATATCAGGAAGAAGTTCTTCCCAGAGAGGGTGGTGAGGCACTGGAACAGGTTGCCCGGAGAAGCTGTGGATGTCCCATCCCTGGGAGTGTTCAAGGCCAGGCTGGATGAGGCTTTGAGCAACCTGGTCTAGTGGAAGGGGTCCCTGCCCATGGCCGGGGGGGTGGGACTAGGGGATCTTTAAGGTCCCTTCCAACCCAAACCATTCCAGGATATGATTGTATTAGCACCAACTAAAAAACATGGATGTTATCAGTGTTCTTCTCAGCGCAAATCCAAAACAGCCTCATACCAGCTGCTGTGAATAACATTAACTCTGTCCTGACTAAAATCAACACAAATGAATGATCATGTTCACTATACAGAATGAAACTTCAGCACCACACTGTTTAAGTTGAAGAATCAATTCAGGACAGGTAAATTGCTCTTTCATATAAGTGTCACACTTTAATTTTATTCACAGGTAAAAATGTTTGAACTGAAACTTGGCATGTATATACAGCTGTAGAGAGATGCTATTACTCAGTTCATTATATTCAGTCACTATTCCTAATAGTAGAATTGTTCTTTTCTTGTGACATTCCATATCTTTGCACTGAAAAGAAACATTAAGAAATAGATCTTGACTAACCTGCTTGTTTTCATTCTGATGAACCTGAAGGAAGAGCTGTGTAAACACCTGTATTATGGTCATAACTTCTGGGGTTCCATCAGTTTCCAGCAGTGCATTCCTAAGCATTAAAAAGTTCGATTAGGACAGATAAGTTAATTAGTCTGGCCATCTCACCACTGTTAATTGAAATGAAATAAAAAAAGAAGTATGTACTTGTGTGCTGTGGATTCAAGCTGTGTCTGAGGTCATTATGCCAGTGGAAAAACTGACAAATGCTAATTTTGCAGGCTTTTTAAATTTTATTTTTACAAAAAAAAAAAAAGAAAAAAAACACCACATATGGATCTCTGGCAAATAAACTAGATTTAGTAAGTATATATAATATACATAGCGAAATACAGAATCTGCTCTACCAATAGGGGACAAAAAGTGTAAAATCAAAAGAGAGAGTACCATGACTTCATTAGGCAAATATGGCATCCAAACAGTCTTACTGGGTTCAGAGCAACTATTCCCATGCCTAGTTAAGCATACTTTAGTGCTCTGTGACGCTGCATCCCATGGGCCATCTCAAATTAGAGATAAAGTACAAGCTCATACAATCTCCTGGGATACATACCTGGAGGCTGGGGGCAGGGCAAGGTGTGGAGGGGGAAATCTCGACTTAAACCATTAAATATAACACTCCTGCTGGAGCCAGGGAAACAAACAAGCTGAAGTTGCTGATCAAATTTAAAAGCTACATGTTAAAAAAACTGCACAAGGAGATTGAACCTAAATAATACAGCTGCTGTTCAGTCACTGCGACTCCTCAGTGATTACTGGGCAATGAATCAGAAGCACAAACAGAAATGAGTGTATACCAAAGGCATACTTTAGATCAGTAATTGCTACAGATTTAATTAGGGATCACTGCATTCCAATGTGCTTTCTGTGGTGAAATCATAAAATCTGCTCTGAAGGTTCAGGAAGGTGAACATTAACTGGCCTTCCATAGGGCATAATGTACCCTTCAGCAAATGGAGCAGAAAAACATATCAGCAGCAAAGTGTAATTTTCACTCCCCTGTTTGAGAGACATGTAATACTAAGGAGAAAAAAATGCTCAAAGCAATCTGCCACTCAGATATAAGATTTTCATTACAGAATTGTTTCGTTCTTCCCGTAATAATCTAAAAGATAAGAACAGCTAACACATGACTATAACAGAAATTTCACAAAACTATGGGCACATATAATCACTAATGCAAACAAAAGAAACAGTACACAGAAACTCAAGACAGTCTAGGTGTGTGGACTTCTGTATAGCCGCACATAACAATAAGAATAAGTTCTGCTTGGGGAAAAAATCCCACAAGTTAATATCCCTGAGATAAAACAATTTAGCACAATCGACCTCAATACAAAGCAGGCAAATAGCAGGAAAAGTTATTCCTGAAAGAGACACAATGGTTAGATCCATGCCTTTAACAGAATATTAACCGCAAAATAAAATTAGTTTTTTGCCAGGTGTAGAAACATAAAACAGTTTCCAAGCCATGAAGTACAAGTTCTTTATCAGCAGCTCTCTAAAATCTCACATGTGACTGCATCCAGAAGAGTATCTTAACATCTGCACATCACTTGATAGTAGTTGGAAGGATGTCAGGAAAATACAACAAAGATTAACACAAAGCTGCAGAAACCAATTGGTCTGCAAGAGCCTGATAACACATACAGCTGCACGTAAGAGCAGCAGGACCTGAAACATAGTATTTTTAAAACATATTAAGGGTTTAATATCAACAGTGCAGAGAAAGAAGCATGCTAGGTAGAAACAATGGAAAGCAAATCAGGGAGCAGAAATGTAGGCTAAGCAGCAGGAAAACACGATGAATTTCTAAAACAAGTGGAACCATTAGTACAAGTGTGAAGGTTTATTACGAAACACTCTGCTGGACAAACTTCTGCATTATTTGAGAAAAGCATCTCACCCAGTTCCACTGACTACCAAATGGAAAAGGTGCAAAAGAGTTACGTAGTCCCGTGTTATTTTTGGAAAATATTTTATATATTCCGACCAAGTCAAGAAGCTTGAACAAATTTGTTCAATGACAGGGTCGACATGCTAGAGGGAAGGGAT